AACGGTTTGCTAAACTATAAATCGTACTTAGTCCTTTACCAAAACTGTGGAAACCAGGTCCCTGGGTCAATGTTTTTTAGGCCTTATGGTTGTCATTTGTTATATATCGCAAATATATTACAAGATGGACATCAACAGACAAATTTTTATATGATTTTAATTAACACTTAGCCCACAGAAACATATAGCCTCTGATTCAGAGCTTAGAGTAGGACTAAAACTAAACTGGTTTTAAATTAAAATTATTTACAAATTGAATTATTTCTTTACTCATGTACATGTAAAAGACAAATGTTGCACATGTAGTTTCCTTAACAAAAACTGTAAAATTTATGGTTTGTGGAACCAGCTTTAAGTCCCAATTGCAATCTGGGCAACTGTTAATTAAAATAAGTACTTTAGCTTCTTTCTTAAACTTTTTAAACCTATGTCATTTGTATCAAGCGCTCAGGCCTTATGGTGGGGCTAAGTTGGTCATGCATTGAAATTTATTATACAACGTGCCTGGATTTCTTAGAGGAAAGCTGCATAAAAGTGATTATAAAAGCCTTTCAATTTCAGCAATTGCTATTATAAAACTCTCACTCTGAATTCAGAAATACACTTCTTTGATTATTATTGTCATATTATTCATTTAAACACGTTAGAGTAAATGTGAATGTTTTGAGTACCTCCACAGTTCCCCCAATTCCCCAATCAAGTTTACCATTGATAAGATCACGTGACCAGAAGTAAAAATTATGATTGGACATAATGGAGATAGAACTCTCTTATATTAATAAATTTGCATCAAATGGAGATAGAACCAAAATAACTGTTAATATCTTCTTCATTTTTGTCAAAAGAAACAAAAGGTTTTCATAGGGAGATAGATCTCTGCGAGCTGATTCCAACGATATGCATAACTCATTTTTGACCATTTTGGCACATAGAACCTTATAATTCTCGGGCGACGTATAGTCATAACTTCGACACTTTGAAAATTTTGATATACTATTGTGGTAACTTTGACACTTTGAAAAACATTGGCGAAAACTTTGACACTTTAAAAAATCTTTGGCGAAAACTTTTACGCTTTGAAAATCTCTGGCGAAAACTTTGACACTTTTAAAAACTTTGGCAAAAACTTTAATACTTTGAAAAACTTTGACACTTTAAAAAACTTTGGCAAAAACTTTGACACCTTGATTTACTATAGTTAACTATAGTAAAATATAGTTAACTATAGTAAACTATAGTACACTATAGTTAACTAAAGTAAATTATAGTTACATGTAACTGTAGTATTTTTCTGTTCGGGCAGCCCTAGCGGACTACGAGCGAAATCGAAACAGACCCAGGAAGCGAACCGGGGGTCCGCTCGGGGTTTTCTTTCAGTAAGGTTGTGTGCGGTCAGTACATCTACTGTACATGTTAAATACCATTTTCCATTAATATGTTAAAATGATATCTTGCAGATGAAAATAATAGTTACACAGCCCGATTTATGGGTTTTTATCTCTACGCATCAAACACAACAAATATACAAAATGGTCACCTATGTTTTCACGACACAAACTATACAAGAGCCACGATACCAGCTGTTGCTAACATAAGCTGCCCAGTACATGGACAATACGTCATTTTCTATAATGAGAGGCCAATAAAGAACGATAACAGAACAGAGCCTTCTGTATATGCACATTCTGAACTTTGCGAAGTGGAAGTTTATGGTAAGACGCTTACACAGAGTTATATCATTTCAATTTATTTTGTTTATAAGAATTTAAAAAAAAGTGTATTTGTATAAATTAATGATAATTTAGTTTACGCTAAGATGCTTTACCTTGATTTTTAAAATCATAATAATCGTGTAATCTATTTACGTATACTGAATCAGAAATGGCGCATTCGTACTTTAAACAGAAATTGACCTAAATTTTCAGTTGATAAATCTGTATACCAAATTTTATTTCAATATATGCAACATCTTCAAAGAAAATGATTGGAAAGTGCAAATAATTATTTCTTTTTCTAAGTCAAAGGGACGTAAATCTGAAAAAATGGTGCGAGCATATCCAAAACAGAACTTGACCTGGATATTTAGCTGATAACTCTGTATACCAAATTACATTTCAGTATGCGTAACCTCTGCGAAGAAAATGAACGAAAACTGCATATAATTGAAACTTTTCCAATTCAAAGGAGCAGAGCTCTGACAAAAATGGCGCCATCGTACCGAAAATAAATCTAAATCTACATATTAACCTGATACATCTGCATACCAAATTTCATTACAGTATGTGCAAGGGTTGTGAGGAAAATGAGAGGAAACTAAATGGACCGACAGGCCGACCGACCGACACACAGCAACAAAGTCATATGTCCTCCTTTCGTCGATTGATTGATTGATTAATTGTATACTGTTTAACGTCCCTCTCCAGAATATTTCACTAATATGGAGACGTCACAATTGCCGGTGAAGAGCTGCAAATTTGGGCCTATGCTCGGCACTCAGGGTCATTGAGCAGGGAGGGATCTTTATTGTGCCAACACCTACTATGACACGGGATCTCGGTTTATACGGTCTCATCCGAAAGACCGCCCCATTTAGTCGCCTTTTACGACAAGCAAAGGGGTACTGAGGACCTATTCTAGCCCAAATCCCCACGGGAATCTCCCTTCGTCGAAGTGGGGCATAATGATATAAATACATGTGTGTGTGTGTTTATCATATTTAAGGTTGCTCTTCACCAAGACGCTATGGACAGGACTGTCCAAAGGCATGTCCAATAATTGCATTGATTTCTGTCACATAAATTCAGGAAGTTGTCAGCATTGTACACGGGGCTTCAAAGGTTCTCACTGCGAACAAGGCAAGTCTTAGGTTATAACAGCATGCTTAGATTTGTTCGAAATATACATTCTCTTATTGTTCTACATGAATTTCTGAGAATTTGTTTAATATCGTATTTTTCTATTCTCAAATAACAACGACCACGATAATATTTATATTTTTTTAATATACTTGAAGTATGGAATAAGTTTGATATCATCTGAAAATTTTTTTAAATATTTAATTCAATATTGATAATTAGTTTTTAATTTAAAATGTAATTAAATTAGTAAATCTTAGATTGAAGAAATTTGGTGGTAAAACCAAAGTGTTTTTTTTTTTCTTATTTTATAAAAAATCAATAAAATGTAGATATACACAAGAGTAAAGATCAAATTCGCTTCAGTGGCCAATGTTCATATGCAAACTAAATATAATACATTATAAAATTATCTTGAAAACGTTTTTAATAACATTACGGTAAACCATTTCCATCACGGGGACCAACACCATGAATAACAACTGCGGATTAAAACATTATCTTAAACATTTATAGAGTGTGATAGTGGATTCCATGGTGAGGGTTGTAGCCTGACTTGTGGACATTGTAAATGGACGAACGAATGTCACAACATAAATGGAACTTGTTTGAATGGTTGCGCCGAGGGATATGAGGGAGAGTTTTGCAATAAAAGTATCGTTAAATAAAAACAGAAATGCTTACTTATGAAAAAATTTAAATGATCATTTATATCAATAATTAGATGACCTAATCCAATCATTACTTTTTTCTAAAAACCAGCATGCCCTGATGGATACTTTGGAGAATATTGTGTTCAGAAGTGCAGCGATGCATGTAGAGGATGTAATAGAACAAACGGAATATGTGAGAATGGTTGTCATCCTGGCTGGCAAGGAAATTTCTGTCACAAAAATGAAGGCAGTATATATTACCAGACCTTACCATATATTTCTTGAAAGAATGTTTTTAAAAATCATTTATGGTAAATATAAATGAGTATAAATGTTGGCGGTTTAAAGCATATCAACAACACTTATTAAAAAGATAAAATATAATCATTAATTGAAGTATATAATTAAATGGTCATTTCTTTATAAATATTATAATAATATCTGTAATGATTATTGTTTCCATGATGATTTTGTGGGAAATTCAGGACGATGCATAAGGCTCGAATTACTTTAAATGTTTTATATTTGGCGAGTGCGATATTTGGCGGAAATTTACTTTTGAATAAGTTAGCGTAGTTTTGATTTGGCGCATTTCTTCATATTCTTACTTATGTGTATACTTTCATGACATTTAGCTATGTACTTGATAAAACGGTTGCTGAGATCCGCCAAAGCCGCTAAAAGGGTTACGCAGCCAAATGTAATTCGTTTACAGTATACAGTTTTTAAATGTGATATATATTGTAGCCAGATATATACAAACTGTAGAAAGAATGCCACGAACAGCCCACGAAAAAGGGATAACTAAATGTAATGGGTTCAAATCTTGGCAAACACTTACATAAGTAGATAAAATATATAGAAAATGTTCCTTTGCAAGCTCTTACTACCTTAACGTATAAGGTGTGGGTGCTTCGACTAGAACCTTAAATACCAAGACCCAGACAGGCATTGCCAAGATAAAGATCCATACTTGCCAAAGGTTTTTAGATCCAAACCTTACTGATGGTGCATTTTTGAGGTTTTTTTGAGCAAAAATGTGCATTAACAGATGTTATGAGGATACATTTATCTCCCCTCTCAAAAGTTGCACAGTTTAACGCATACAACACTTCCCGTTTCAAACACAAAACCACGCATCTATTGTTTTCTGCAATCCAGCATTTTCACACACATTCTAAAGTTCATGTAATCTTAAATTAAATCCTAATTCCCTATTACTTTTTACCAGCTAAATATCTTTTTCTCAGAGAACCTTTCATTGTATAAAAATATTATGTCATAAGTATCAACGCCAGAGCTGAGAAAAAAAATCGCAATGCTATAAAGTGTTTTTAGTTTAAAGGTACCGTCATATTTATATGACGTGAATATTGCATGTTGTATCAAAATTCATTTAATTTATAATTGTATAGCAAAAGACCACAAACTATTTTTATATAACAAATTTACACAGGCATATTAACTATAGTCGGTCTTTACTTTGCATATTAAGCATGCACTGAGGGGTACTTTGGATCGAATTGTTTGCACAAGTGTAATGAGACATGTAAGGGGTGTAATGGAACAAATGGCGTTTGTGAAAATGGATGCCTCCCTGGTTGGAAAGGATTGTACTGTCATGAAGGTAAACATCAAAATTAGATCGTGACACTTAGAGCACTTGATCAATTTTCCAACGAAAAACTGGGCTGAATAAATAATAAAATACAATTAAAATCAATGAAGAATTCATTTGTAAATAAAACATTTAATGTTCCAGGGAATCTTTGAAAAAAAGTTTGTTTTTTGATAGTTCAAATGCAAATTTTAAAAGCCGAAAATATAGGACTATCCAAAACCGTGTAAAACTATTTTTTAGTTTCATTATTTTCCTTCAAGAATGCAACAAAGGATTCTACGGAAATGCTTGCAGCATGATTTGTGGAAACTGTTTGAACTCTGAACAATGTCAGCTAAATAATGGGACTTGTATGAATGGTTGTGATTTGGGCTATGAGGGAGCATTATGTAATAAAAGTAAGATTTCCATGATTACGAGATATTATTCGGAGGACAATTACTGTCACCTTCTAAAAAAAAATAGTATGGAAAAATGAATTAAATTGAGGGTGATTTTCATTTAATTATTATTTCAAATCTCATAAAGATGTAATTCTAAGAGATATAAAATAAATTGAATGGTGGCTGTACAAATGTGGATTTTTTTTTACGTAATTATGAAACATAATTTGATCTTCGCATTCTTTAAAACAAAACAATCTTTAAACATATTTACAAATCCAGAAAATGCTTTGTTGTATCATATTTCCTTATTTCTTGTTTGTATCACTCCTGGTAGTTTTCTTTTAAGAATGCTAGATGGTATTCATTATAATATGCTATTATATTCTTAAAAGCATGTAAGGATGGAACTTTTGGACATAACTGCCAAGCTACATGCACCGAGACATGTTATGGATGTAACAGAAATAATGGTAAATGCGAAATCGGATGTCATCCAGGATGGAAAGGATATTACTGCAATGAAGGTGTGACATTTTAACCTTGTCATTAAAATTAGAACTGCGTCCTGAATTTTGATTATGATGTATTCTTTCCAAGACAGTTTTGTAAATACGTATACAACAAAGAGGAATGTATGACTCGATTCTTAAAAAATGATTTGACTTATTGCGTCAACAAAAATCGAGTCCCCCTCACCATACCGAGTTATATTATACATGTGTATTTAGCATGGGACTGTCTTATTAAAATTGACATATATTGTTATTTTTTTTCTGTAGAGTTTGTATATTAAGATTTTGTTTGACACGTTCTTGACAAATATTTCAGAGTGCATTAATGGATTTTTTGGCAAGAATTGTAGCAAGACATGTGGGTTTTGTAAACGAATGGAGGATTGTCATCCGACTAATGGAATGTGCCTAAATGGATGCATCGCCGGATATGAAGGACAAACCTGTAATAAAAGTATGTATACATTTCTGATGCATATATATTGCATGGATCTTATTAAGATGTGAGTAAAGATGTAAAAACAAAACACAGACAATGATAAAATAATCTTAAAATAATTGTCTCAACCTTAAAGCATGCAGAAACGGATACTTTGGAGAAGGCTGTGTCCAAGGATGTAGTGATGCATGTAAAGGATGCAACTGAAGAAATGGAATATGTGAGAATGGTTGTCAAGCCGGTTGGGAAGGGAAATTCTGTTCAGATAGTAAGGGAAATAGCAAAACGTTACCTCTAATCATATTTAAACCTTCTTGACAATTATTTCCTTTCATTATTTTCAGTAGTAATTTTACAACTACACAGAAAATTAGTTCAGTATTGGCATTGATAAACGTTTTGTTAATCCTCAGAGTGTTTGAATAACTTTTACGGAGAAGGATGCAATGTGAGTTGTGGTCAATGTTTGAACGGAAAACAATGTCACCATATCAACGGTTCATGTCAGAGTACATGTGCACCTGGATACAGTGGGAATAAATGTTATGAAGGTACGTGCACTCTGATTTAAACTTTATTTAAGTATTCTAAAAAAAAATGTTCTCCACCTTTTATTCCCAACTTCGTATTCTCTTATGAAATGTATAATACAATTTACACCTGCACTCTTAAATAAGGAGCGATTTTGAAATCGTCTTATTTTTATTTGGTTTGGAAGTATGCAGGTTTGGATATTTTGGTGATGAGTGTGCACAGGAGTGCAGTCTCTATTGCAAAGAATCACGTGATTGCCATCATGTTTCCGGAATTTGTCGAGGTGGCTGTAAAAAGGGCTGGCAAGGAAATGATTGTATGAAAGGTAGGTAAAGTTATGGGTCTACTACTGCTTACGACGTATAATAATATTTACACGTATACTGTATAAGCTAAAAACCAAGGGATAATTTTTGTTTTCTTTTTAGATGTTAAGGTTATGCAAATAACAGATTCAGTGGGAGACCTCAGGACACAATTTTATTCTGCTTTTGGTGTTTGCTGCTTTCTATTTTTCCTAATCGGCATCTTTGTTCTATACAAAATGATCAGAAGGTACATTTATTCTTTCATTGCTAAGGCAAAAATTACAATTCCTTTGATAAAGATCATTTTCAAATAAGAAAAGAATAATATAATTTGCAGGTTAAGGGAAGTCCATTGCAGTAAAACCGTTTCCGCAAGTACCTCTTCTTCTGGTGGAAAGGATGCAAAAACCACTTCTATACCAATGGTTAAAAATGACAACTATAAGGACGAATATCAAGAACTTGGGGATCTCTGCTCGCCTTCCACCTACGACATGCTACAATAATATTATTTAAAATCATGCTTAATTGATTGATTTTTTTCAAAACTAATATTAGTTTTATAATATTAAGTTAGGATCAAGGATTAGGTATTTGAAAAAAAGTAAGTGTAATTGACCGTAAAATAATTACATTTTTAAAAGTAATTTTAAGTTATTTGTAATTGAACATTTTTTTTCAATTTCTTGTTATTGTAATTTAATTAACTACGGTTCCTAAAACCTTCTACTTTCCCATGCTTCGGTCGCTTACCGTTCGTTCATCGTTCGTTCAGCGTGCGTTCACCATTCGTTTAGCGTGCGTTCACTGTTTGCTCTGAGCTCACAGTATTGTGTTCACCGTTCACAAAACATTCACCGTTTGCTCTTCGTCCCGTTTACTTTGCGATCACTTTGCGTTCAGCGTTCACACATCAATCACTCATTGTTCCTTTTATGTTTGTTCCTCAGTCATTCAATTATAAAAGCTCAAATTAAAATTTAAGTTTACAAGCAAAAAAAATGATTGTTTTGATAATAATAATCTAGTTTCTTTCTATTCATTATGTATTTTTTCTGTTATAGGTTTCTCTAAATTTAGTACCACCCTGTTTATATTAGTGCTGGTCTATTCGTTATTAAACACACATTTGTTATATTAATTTTATATTTTAAAACATTTATAATACATGTAAAAAAAGAATGTTGTGTCATAATTTAGCCCTCTCTTTCTCTCGTTGGGAAGAAATAATTGTCCTCCAATACACAGCTATAAAATGCAGTCAAAACAAAATTCTTCTAAGGAGGTATTCATTCCATGATTAAGAAGACAAAGCAAATGGATGTAATGATTTCAATTAAAAATACTCTGCTAACTGTAAAAAGGAAAATAAGAACATTATCAATTTGATAATCATTTTAACATCTAAAAAGATTTTTATGAGAGAATTTTGCATCTGAAAAAGTATTTTTCTGTACAAGTATTATCTATGAAGTAGAAATCTTCAACATTAGTAGGAATTTAGGATGTTCAGGTTCGGAAATGTTTAATTTGAAGGGTTACAGTTGCGATTCTTTTTCCTGTATTTAGATAACCCCTTTTAATCAAATATCATAAGTCATGCATTTTGTGCTCCAGTAGATTTTTTGTGTTAGAAACTGCATCAAACTGATCGCAGAAATTTCTTTAATGTTTTGTAAAAATAACATAAATTAAACCACAAAGATACGCAATGACCATATAATATTTCTTGACGTATTGTTTTTGTAAAATGAATGTTGTTTTGTATGTTCATTGATAAATGTTAAACAATTTTCGAAAAAAAATATCAAAATGTAATTTGTAATTTATTTACCTACTTTTGCAAAGTAGTTTTAATTTAATTGATTACATATCCTAGAAAGCCTGTAATTTAATTATAATTCAACTGAAGAAAAAGTCAAAGTTAATGTAATTTTTTAAAAGTAATTGGTCCTATCGCTTGTAATGCTGGATGAT